AAAAAATAATAGTAAATATCAAACTCACTTTTTGATCTAAAAGCCTGTGCCCAATACCGCAGGAATCCTTATCCTCCTTATCCTCCTTAAGTTTAACAATTTTGTTGTGTTTCTAACTTACGCTAACATCAAATGTTTTTCTTTTTTACTAATATTTAAAGCACTATTGAATTTAGGTTGTAATAAAACTCTGCCATTATCAAAATTTGTATGAAAACTGTTGGTTTTAGGGCGGCAGATAAAGTGGATTCCAAACTGTTTGAAATTGATGACATATTGGAATCTATCTTAACGCGTTCCATTTTTAGGTTGCTATTAGTTTTATCAATGTGCAAACGAAAACAAATTGCAAAACAATCTTGCAATTCATTTGCAGTATATTTATTTAAACTTTTACAGTTGTTTGTTTTAACGAAAAGTTTCTATATACTTCTTTAGAATATGTTTCCTTCTGTTTGTACTTGACATTTCACATTGTGCGTGAAATGCTCACTTAAAGTTATATATATAGCTGATTCAGCTGTTTTTGGGAACTTATTCCATTTCATTTCAAAAAGAAAAATATAATGCCCGAGTTTTTATAGTTGTCAGACTTTCAAGACTAGGATTCGCGCTTTCATAGCGCTGGAATATACGTAATTAGTGCCTTTAATTTTGGCGTTGATAGGTCGCCAAATAATTGGTAACATAGTTGGCAATAAACTGATACTGCATCTGGAATAAAGACTGCCAGCGGGTCTGAGCCAAAGCAAGCTCATCGGCAGCATCACTCTCAGAGCTTGTATTAGTACCGCTTGTATCCGGAATACTTTCTTTATCTTGTTCCTCATTTTCGGATTCACTTTCGCTTTCATTAGCATTTTCGCTTTCTGCGGTTAGTGTACTCAATGAACTAGAGTCCGTATTGCTAGCATTGCTGTGTTCGTCAGTCACATCGTAATCGTCTTCATCATTTGTCGATGACTCTTCTCCCTCAGACTCGTCCGACTCCAAGGCCATCGACGAATTGGTGTCATATTGCGAAGTATCAATGCCCGAGGATGCACTCTCAGCTGACTCCACAAAACCGCTGGATGAATACGGCTCCAAGCTATCAGCTCCCACACTTTCATTTTCACTAATGTCATCGTTAGCGTGTAGCCTGTCTTCTGGGGGCACATATGAAGACCCTGATTCCGAATTCTCTGAATAGACTTCCCCAGCGTTACCGTTTTCACCTGTTCCATTAGCAGGTGGTATGTTTAGTTGCTGGTTCACATGTACGCTTAGCTTGCTCAACGGCTGTTGTGGACATGAATGACCTCTTATTATTTCCATTAGCCTATTGTAATTATCTAAGTTGGGACTATCCGGCAAGGCGAATTTTTTCAAATGCTTTGGCTTGCTATGATCCACATAGTACAAGTGACGCATTGAATCGTAAAGCTGCTCTATCCATTTATCCGACAATTGAAAATCACATTTGCCTCTCTCGATGTAAGCCGTCAAGCGTTCTTTGATTTGCGAAAGGTTAATAAACTTTTTTAGCTGGTGCAAAAATTTGTGTTTCTTTGTAATCAAAGTTAGGAGTCTCTGAAAATAAAAAAAAAGGATTATAAATTATATTGTTTAGTACTTTACTTAATGTACTCACATTTATTTTGACTTTACGACGTCTTTCACTTTGTCCCTTGTTCATCTCGGGCAACTGCTCTTTATCATTAGATTCATCCAGCCATTCCTGAATATGAACGAATTTTTTTTAAAAAACAAGAAAGTATGGTCATCTTAGGCACGCCAAAGATGTAATAAGATTTTGGAGATTTGCACATATGTGAGAACGGTGACGCCCGTAAATGGTGTGTTTGATGAAAATAACTTCAAAACCCGAATATTTTGCCATACAAGAACTGGTTTTTAGACCGATTCCTCCAATAGCACCTAATTTTCGACCGATCCTTCCTATAGCAGCTATATGATATAGTAGCTCGATTTTAGTAAGATTTTGGCGATATATGACAAGCATAGTGAAACTTATATATGTCGAGTTTGGTTAAGATACCTTAAAAACAAAAACATTTTTCATATAACACACTTTTCGACCGATCGTTTTAGTAGTCCGATCCGGCCGGCTCCCACTTTTGTACTGCCTGCAACAGCAAGACGGACTTTGCAAATCGTCAACACGATAGCTTTAAAACATCGCATATAAACAAACATAAACGGACATGGCTATATCTGCTCAGCTGTTGATGCTGATTAAGATAACTTATGTGATTGGAGACGTCTTCTTCTATGCGTTACACATTGCATGACAAAATTATAATACCAAGGCTATAAAAACGTTAATGTAAGTATTTTGACATTTTACCTCTGACTGCTCTTCGGCATTTGTCCCACTTTCGCAGATCCAATTCTTAGTTTTTGGAACACTGCGGCGCCAATTAAAGAGGTGTATGTGACGTCCAGCATTGCGTAGGCGACGCTTTTGCAGCTCCTGCTGTGTCAATGCACGCCGCCAAATAATGTGCATATCGCTCTCTGAATAGCAGCTACTATATGAAGCATCACTATCGTAATCATTCTCCATGCTGTCCGATATAATACTGCTGGCATCATCGACAGTATTTGATATGCCCAATGGATGCAGTGTGGTTGAGCTTCGCTCTGTGGGCGCAACTAAGCAATAGGTTTTGGTATTAATCGAGTTTGGTGCGGCCGCCGGCAATTCAACCGAAGGTGTCAGCTCTATGAGCTCTATGGGAGATTCTTGCAATTCTGGAGGTTTCTCAAATTGTTCTGCAATTATTTTGTGCACATTTTCGGCTTTGTTTGATGTTTGTCCTTGTGCTTGGTTATTCGAGACATTTTCCTTATTGTCTATGGTAATTTGCTTGTCATGTGTTGCTACCATATTGGCTATATTTAGCGTTTCATCCTTGCCTGCAGGCGCAACCTTATCCTCTTTAATTTGTTCTCCTGCATTTTGTATTTGAGTTGAAACCTGTTCCACCGCAATGGCAGTTACCTGGTTTTCCACCTCAAGAGTCTGTTCCTCAATAATATTAATCTCTTTAATCGGCTTGTCGTTCTCTATGAGCTCCTGATTAACTGAGCTTTTCTGCAAATACTCTATATGTTCTTGAATATCATTTTCAACAGTACTATCTGTTTCCAACTGATCTTCATCAACTTCAACCGTATCTGGTATTTGCTCATCATTGGCCGGTGGCTTCCAGCGCTGCTTAATTCGCTTGATTTCGCCCTCCTCTTGCTCACACGCCTCTGTTTTCAGATAGTAGGGAAAATCATAGGAATCGTAATCCCAAAAGTTGAAGCCTTCGCGTTTTTCTGCGGGAAATTGCAGCACAGACATCCCAGTGCCTGCATCAGCAATAATACGCTTAAAACTTACGCATTGCTGCGGCGAGGATATAAAAGTAATGGCAATGCCCTTGGCGCCAAAGCGACCGGCGCGTCCAATGCGGTGCAAATAAGTAACCAGATCGTTGGGCGGATCCAAATTAATAACCAAGTTAGCATGCGAAGAGTCAACGCCGCGTGCCATCAAGTCTGTGGCCACTATTGTGCGCATTTTAAAACTGCGATAGGCCTGAAATAGGTTAAATATACAGAAATTAGTGAGTTGATTTAAGCTTTATATTAATTACTAAAACGTCAGGTCTACCTGAAATGTCTCAAGGCGATCGCTCTGCTTCATAGCACCCGACATTAGATCGCATTCAACGCCATCGCGTTGTAAATAATTGCGAAAAGAATCGGCACGACTTTGTGAGCTGGCAAAGAGTAGGACCTGCTCGTAGGACAATTGAGCAAAAATCTTGTGCAGCGCAGCCAGTTTGGCCATCATTTCCTGCATACTGTTTGCCTGCTCAGGCAGCTCATAGACAAATTGACGAACACCAAGCAATACTGTGGCTCGCTCGCTGTTAGAAACCAGAACCGGTTTATTCATCAACTTGGCCAGACGCTCGTCCAGTGCATTCGGGTAGGTAGCGCTACATGCAATGATCTGGCAGCCGGGCTGGAGCGATGCTAGGATAGTCTGGACATCCTTTTGCAGAGAATCAGTAGAATATAACTGATCTGCCTCGTCCAGCACGAGCAGCTTAATGGCGGACGTGTTGAATACTTTGTTCTGCATGAGGTGTATCAGTCGACCTGGTGTTCCCACTACAATGCGACCGCGAGCCATGCGCATGCGATCTCTTTTTACGTCGGTGCCACCAATAAAGCTCACGCCCAAGTAAGCATTTTTGTTCCGCAGCTTATTGGCCAAGCCGTTTACAGTGTCCTCCACCTGTATGGCCAGTTCGCGCGTTGGCACTATCACCAATGCTTGCGGATTGGGCACCGACTTATCCATCTTCTGCAGTGCGGCCAGCACATAAATCAAAGTTTTGCCCGTTCCACTCTTGGACTGCACCAGCAGATCTTTAAAAATGTTTGTATACAATAATAAATGAATATTAAACGGAAAGGTGAGAGTCTTACCCATCCCAGCAACTGCAATGGGAATTGCGGCAGCTTGAATTTTAGTTGGCGTCAAAAATTTGTGTGACTTCAGGCATTTCGAAAGGTTCTTGTTCAAATTGAGTTCCTCAAATGAAACTGAGCCTGCAGCCACATCGCTTGTGCGTTGCTCAGTATTTTCCAAATCATGCGCTAATGCGCTCTCCATATTTGCTAATATTTTGCAACATAAATGAAAATTCGTATGCTAAAATGAAAATCACGCTGCAAAAAGCCGCCAAGCACACACACACACTATTAACATCTGATGTAAATCGACCAACCGCCACAGAACAGGCACAGTTTTCGATAATAATTTCTGCACCAGTGCTGTATAACTAGTCTAGAGTTGCTTAACTTAGTTTTGCATAAATGTAAAATGTGAATTTTTTTAGTTAGTTATTGTTTGAAAATATTATAATTAATTATTTCATACATTTTTGCACACTTTTTTCAACAAAAATTAATAAGGCTATATATATCGATAGATCACCGATTTTTTTACAGACAATTGTGCCAAATACTACCCGTGATAGTTGATGCCAATTTAAGTATAATTTTATAATTACTATAAAGTAATATCTGATGATTAGCATGTACAAAGTTTTCCCCGCTTGACGTAAACATGCAAAACAAACAAATGACGGCATTTATCATAACTGGACAGCCAGGTGAGAGAAAATATGTTCATTAACAAGCAAAATTAATATTTCTGCAGGAGTCGGTAAGACTACGCTTATTCGCAAGCTATGCAGCGAATTGAGCGTCCACAGCAAATTGGCAGGCTTTTACACAGAGGAGATACGAACGAACGGCCAGCGGATTGGATTCGACGTGGTTACTGTGGATGGCACACGCGGAATTCTGGCCCGTGAGAATCCATCGGATAATCTACGCCGGCCCAAGGTGGGCAAGTATGCTGTTTATGTAAAAGATTTCGAGGATCTGGCGCTGCCACTCCTGAAAGTCACCCCACAATCGCAACAACTGCTGATAATCGATGAAATCGGGAAAATGGAGCTGCTAAGCAGACGTTTTGAAGCTGCCGTCAATGAATTGGTTAAGCAAAAGCAGCCCATTCTAGTCACCATACCCTTACACACGCGTCAACCCATTCCGATCGTGGAACGTCTTAAAAACTCACCTGATGCAGTCACCTTCCACGTGACCAGAAACAATCGCGATGGCCTGACACAAGATATTACAGAGTATATTGTTAATGCGCTGTTTAAAGGGAAATAGTTAATTGGGAAGATGCAGCGCAGGCGGCGCAGACAAAGTATTCATACTGATTAGTTGTTACTTTTCGGGACTTTGTCAAAAACGTCAACAAATTCTTTAAAAAATTAAATTTAAATTCTTCAGGAAATTCCGATGAAATGATCTCTAAATTGTCGTATGTTGGCTTATTTTTGGCCTTAACCCTCCTGCACATCTGTGCCCATTTAAAGCCCACTATCGAGGCCAATGCCAGCATCAAAACCATCAATTTGCAACTCACCCGAAAACTGAATCTGTATGTGGGCTATGAATATCATCATACAATGCTGTGGCAGGCAGTCATGAACACAGCATTGCTTGTTTTTGGGTTTTGGCGCTGTCAGCGGGAAGTCGATAGGGCGAAGATTAGATACCGCCTACCAGACCCTAAGACAAATGTAAGGATATCTGCAGCAGCTGAAGTAAAATTGGACTGGTTTCGCAGAAGAGGCAAGCTACCGTCCAGCTGGCAACTGTTTCCGATGCGCCACTTTGCTTGGTTTGGCGCGCCATGGATGCTGACCCTTCTGTTCCACGAATTCTGCAATTATGCCCAACTGAATCTGGTTATGCGTCATTTTTGCACCTCGCTGCCGGAGGTGCTTCTACTATATGTCCGGCTTCAGATGCTCTATCTGCAAAGTTTGTTGACAAACATAGTTGGATCATACCTGCTTCAATTCCATGGCGCCTTCGTAACCTTAACCGCAGCGCACGCTAACTACATTAACTACGAGAGCAATCTCTTCGTCGGAGATGAATGAATGGCCTTTAAAAACCTAAAATCTGAAAATCATTTCGTTTCAAAATTATGTGTAGATTTAACCCTTTACTTATATCTGTTTTCCATTTTAGTAAAATAATAAAATTGCATAAATCGACCATAAAAAATAAAATACAAATAGAAAAAACAACTCTTTATGAACTTCACTGTTTACGCTTCCAGGCAGTTGATGTTGAGAAAAGTTTTTCGGTCACGAGGGAAACATGAACTTTTCTCGTCGGCCGCAACGTAAAAACTTTTCAGCAATATTTTGACAATTAATTTAACATACAACAGGCGTCTGTCTCCATTTGAAGAATTTGTCTGCATCAGAAGCGAAAGTTGGTCACATAAATATAACGTGTCGACGCCTCTTAAGATTTATTGCCAATTCATAATTAATAGACTTAAGCAATGTACTTTTTATTTTCATACTTTTGTGTCAATGTGGTTTCGAATTTAAACAAGTTTTTTAACATAGCAGCCCTTTATAACTAAGTAACGTCTAATATCTAATCATTATTCATAACGAATATTCCAAATCGTTTCACACAAAAATTAACAAAACTTAAACAATTTCAAACTGTGTACTTTTGCTGTGATAACACCGAACCGCGAATATATCAGTTACGCATACATCAAAGGATCACGCAATCACGCACAAAGGAATTCAAATAATTACCGAGGGCTTATCCACATATCACGCACCGAAAGGACTGTTCTGATTTATTGTTTTTCGTTTTGAGTATCTGGTGAGTTTGCCAATTGGACAATTGTGTGTTCCACATAATCATAATTAGAAGAATACTTATACCAAGTCTTAGTGAAACTCGCTTTTGTCGCTTGTAGCCGACTGCACAATACCCTGGCTATTGATTTCAGTAGTAATAAGGCATAGACTTTGGGCGAATATATTCTTTCGGATAATAGGGCGGACTTTAAACTTTACCAATTACATTTTTACATTTTGTGATAATCTGGTGAATCTTCTTTTTCCCATAATCCCATTTTTGAGAAATTTCACGTAGCTTTCCTCTTAAGCTTAATTCAAGAAATTCAATTTAAGCTTTGTACGTTCAGTTGCCTTTTATAATTTCGGCGTAGTATTCAAATTTTCCTTTAGTTTCTATCTATAGTCGAAAGCATTGAAAATGGGTAAAATAGGGCGATCTCCATTAGCTCTTCGGGGTCATGAGCTATGTCTATTTTCTTATTAAGGTTCTCCTCTCCTTATTATTTCCATATCTTTCCTGACGCATTGTGCTTATTCTTGTTATACTCTGAATCCATTAAAAATGGGTAAAAGGGGTATAATGTACATTTGCAAATGTATGTAGCAGGCGGAAGAAGGCATGCCCGACCTCATAAAATATATATATTCTTGATTAGGACGATGAGGTGAGTGACCTCTGAGCCAGCCTGTATAAATGCGTCGTCTTAAACTAAAAAAGTAGAAAGTTTGAACAGAGGTCTATATATTCTCGTTTACCGTTTACGTAGAACCTCTTTTTAATTTTGCCTCCCATTTTCATAATATCATTATCATGTCCATCTCTGTCCGTCCACTCATCTATGTATCCGTCTGACCATCTGTCTGTTCATCTGTATGCTCGCGTTGGTCGAAAACCACAAAAGCTATAGACTTGACATGTAATATGCATATTCTCCCATACCATACACAGATAGAGCTCTTTATTTGTATACCCTGAACCCATTAAAATGTGTAATCAGGGTATATTGTATTTGTGCAAATGTATGTAGCAGGCAGAAGAAAGCCTCTCCGACCCCATAAAGTATATATATTCTTGTTCAGCATCAACAGCTGAGTCGATCTAGCCATATCCGCCTGTCTGTCCGTCCGTCCGTCTGTCCGTATGTATGAATGCAAGGATCTCAGAACCTATAAGACCTAGAGACTTGAAAGTTTGACTGTAGGTCCTCCTAGTGCCCGCGCATATCGAGTTTGTTTCCGATATTCGATAACTTGTCCCGTTTCCAAGTAATTGATAAAAATCGATATCGAAATACTGTTTTTTGAGCAATTTTGGCAAATAATATGAGCTAGAGTCACCAAACTTGACATGTAGCTTCTAGAATAGTATATATATATATCAAGTATTTTTCATTTTATATCTATCGCCTGTCGGAAGAAGAGGGTTCAGGGTATCCCCTAGTCGGGAGCTCCCGAATAGAACCTCTTGTTTCATTTTGTGATAATCTGATGAGCCTTCTTTTTTCCGTATTCATGTAGCTTTCCTCTTAAGCTTACGTACGTTCAGTTGCCATTTATCATTTCGATGTAATATTGAAAATGGATATAATAGGGGGTATAATGGTCATGTGCAAATGTATATATATATATATTCTTGATAAGGAAGATGAGCTGAGTGGGCTCTCTGCCAGAGAGATGCGTCGTCCGAAAACTACAAAAGTATAGTTCCATTTCCCAAATATCGGTAAAAACGAAGAGAAAGTTTGAGGTCTATCTATTCTCGTTTACCATACGAAGAACCTGTTTTTAATTTTTCCTCCCATATACATACCATATCATTGTCATGTCCATCTCTGTCCGAAAACTACAAAAGCTAGAGACTTGACATGTAATATGCATATTATATACCCATACCATACACAGATAGAGTTCATTATTTTTTCCTTTTTTTTCTCTGATACTCGTTGCATTTTCCAAATATTGATAAAAATTGATTTTGTGAAAGTTTAACCCGAAAGCAATATATGCTCGTTAGCCATACGTATAACCAGTTTTTAATTTTATATGCGACTCCTCCCAGAACCAAATAAGTATATTGACTGAGTTACCGAACATTTTAAAGGCGAACAGTCGACCATAGCTTTAAAGATTGTTTTTATAATGCTAGTCAAGGGATATCTATAGATGGTTTTGGTAGAAGAAAGTTCGGCGTATTTCCTAGGTGGGCATTCCCGAATAAAGCACTGTTACTTCTCTGTTGTTTTTGCTGCATTTGGCGTGTTCTGTGACTTTATAAAAGAATATAAAATATATATATATATATTCCCTGCCAGTATCGCTTTCTCCATCTATCCGTCTGTTTTTCTGTGCAAAATAGCATTCAAGTTCCCACACGTGTTGGTCGGATATTATATAGCTCTCATAGAAATTATTACTAACTTTTTGCCAAGTTCAAATCACCACAAGAAGTTGATAAAAGCAACGTTTAGAGAATTCATACAAATACAGAATATACACAATCACAGAATGCCTTGGAATACGTTTTGTATTTTTGTTTTGCTTAGTAGGCCTTGAAGTTTTCTTATAACCGAAACACATATGCCTAATCTATATTTCGTTTGCTTTTCAGTTAATAACAACGTCTCCAGTTTAGTTATTTATGTCCCGGCAATCATAATTCGTTAGTTTTTTTTACATAGAATTCACAGATCGAGTAAATTTTTATTTATTTTTTTTTTATAAGAAAACTTTTAAGGCGTATTCAATATACTAAATCAGAGCATAAATAATATTTTGTGATCGCGAAATCCACTCAGGAAAAATTTAAATCTAATCTACTATCCAACGATCACGATGCATTCTCTGCGTGGGCAACTCCGTATGCTGTATACGCCTTCTCTGGCCAGGACCCTGAGACTCATTGATCCCCTTCGCTGGAACAGGACTGGCTTACTGCGCTATGCATCCTGCGAGGCCAATAAGCAAGGCGGCAAGGGCATCATCTTGGGCCTGTACGAGAAGGAGAGTGGCAAAGGACCAAGGCTAACGCCTGCAGGCGAGAAGTTCGATGATCGTGTGCAGGGCAAGTTGTCCGAGCTGATTTGCGAAACGAAGATAACAGGTCGGCTTGGACGCGGCAAGGTATTTAATAATGTGGATGTAGATTTTCGATCAATTTGCGTGGTTGGACTGGGCCTTGAAGGCATCGCCTTCAACGAGCTGGAAATGCTTGATGAGGGCATGGAGAATGTTCGCGTTGCTGCTGGCATTGGCGCCCGATCCCTGCAGGCCCTAAAGTGCATTGAGGTGCATGTGGACAATATGGACTATCCTGAGCAGGCAGCTGAGGGAGCTGCCCTTGCTGTTTGGCGCTATGATGAGAACCTGGCAAAGAAGTATCGTCAATTTGTGCCAAAGCTGGAGTTGCACGGCTCCCCTGACATGGATTCGTGGACTCGTGGCTTGTTCAAAGCGGAAGCACAGAACCTGGCCAGACGTTTGTCCGATGCGCCCGCCAACTGTATGACTCCAACAATATTTGCTCAGGCTGCTGTGGATGCGTTATGCCCTTGCGGCATCACCGTTGAGGTGCGAACAATGGAATGGATCGAGCAGCAGCGCCTCAATTCGTTCCTAATGATAGCC